AACATGGTGCCTGTTTTTGTATTTTCATTTTAAATTACATAAATAGTTGATTTTGTGGTAAAAACCTACAACAGTTAGTTTTTTCAACAGTTCATTTTTAATATGCATATCAAATATATTATACACCTCTTGAGCAAGAGTGTTTTCTTTTTAAAAACATCAAAAAGCAGATTTAAAATCTAAATTACTTTGGTGTTTAGTCAGTCACACAAAGGAAAAAATTGCAGCCAGCATGGATTTGCTGAGAAATGCCAAATAAACTCAGTATTCTTCTTTGACAGGGTAGTTAGTTTGGTAGATGAAGGGAATGCAGTAGACCGAATATTCTTGGACTTTAGTGAGGCTTTTGATAGTCCCACATGCCATTCTTAGAAGTGAACTGCAGAAATTTGGGCTGGACAGAATTGCTGTTAGGTGGATACATAATTGCCTGAATAAGGACAAGAGAAGAGTAATGGTAAATCAGTCAGTCAGAATGGCAGGAGTCTTCAAGTGGTGCCCTTTACCGGTTCTATTAGTGACTTGGATACCAGAAAACTTCCTGATCCAATGTTGCAGATGACACAAAAATAGGAAGGACTGAAGACACTTTGGAGGACAGGAAGGGAATTAAAAAGCATCTTGATAAACTTGAAGAACTGAACTAGAGACAACAAAATGAAATTCAGCAGACAAATGAAAGGGACCACACTTGGGGAAGAACACACAAATGCAAATATGAGATAACTAGCTAGGCAGCAGCACTGCTGAGAAAAGGATACAGGGTTTGGGTAGCTAATGAACTCAAAATTAAGCAGCAATGTGATGGAGTCACGAAAAAGCAAACCCAATTTTGGATGCATTAATAGGAAGATTGTATGCAAGCCATGGGAGCCAACCGTACCAATTTACTTGGGGCTGGTTGGACCTCAGCTAGAGAACTATGTGCAGGTCTGGGCGCTGCATTTTAGGAAGTATGTAGAAAAACTGGGGACGATCCAGAGATAAGCGACAAGGATGAGACGCACAAGAAGATAAGCTATAGGAGGAGAGGCCGAGAAAGCTAGGCATGTTTAATTTGGCACAAAAGAGACTAAGGGGGATAGGACAGCAGTTTACATATAGTTGGAGAGCTGCCATAAAAGAGAGAAAACAACTGTTCTCCCTTTGCTACAAAAGTGGTGATATGAAAGAATGGCTTTAAATTGCAGCAAAGCAGATTTAATCTCAGAAACATGTCTCTTATACTAGTAGAGCAATGGAACAAGCCACCTAGGGAAGTTTATAGAATCTTTCAGTTAAGGTTTTCAAGAAGCTGTATAAGCTTTCAACAGGGATGGTTTAGAAATAGTGCATCTTTCACCTATGCAGGCAGTTGGACTAGATGGCACCTGAGATCACCAGGGATCTAGGTTTTCCATTTCCCATAGGAATACAGGAAAAAAAAGGTGGATATTCCCCATTACCTGAGGCTATGGGTGGGGTGTGAGGGGTGTGGACCTGTGTCTTGGTGAGCTAAAGGGCTCTGATTTTTCATGATAAAAAAATCCAAAATCAAATACCAAAATGTTTAGGTACTTAGAATTTATTTTAGTATAGTAACTGAGGCAGTGCTAGGCTTCCAAAAACAGGATCCCTGGAGATCACCTACTCCATGGCTATGTTTCTAATAATTTTGTCTCCTGCCTTCTAGCCAAGATCCCACGAAAGCCCATGAACGTCATCAGAGCACAAAGACGTTTGAAGGAATGACAAATTTCAGTGCAGGACAGAAAAAGTGTAGATTCAGTTGCAGAATTAAAAACTCAGTGAAAAGTTATAGTTCCCCAAGTATTGAACTTTAGACCATTTGTAACTGAAAAAAACTATGCATTTATCCAAGTATTGTTTATAAACCCAAACTTAAATGAATACTACAACACTGCAACCCTGTTCAGTAAGCAACAATATGCCTTGTCAAACATTATCATTATGAAAGAGTCAGCTGTAACAGCACATATTTGTGCTTCAAGAAAAGGTAGTAAGTTTGGGGAATTTCTTCACCACAAATGCACATGTAATAAAAAATTAATTAATTAAAATCCTTAGTCTGAATTGGTCTATGCTTTGCTATTGTAATATATATCCAGTTTAAACACTTTGTTTGAAGTATTACACAGCACAAACTTGGACCTATGCCAAACTATTTCTGAATATTAAAATATACTTCCTCTTATAGAAGTACAGCAGATCATTTCTCAGCAACTGATAACACGAGCTTCAATATGCACTGGAGTTTAAAATAACTCACTGAATGCCACACTGAAAACAGAAATAGAACTGCTACAGATAAAAGCAAGAACGTATCAGATAAAGATGCTGGGTGGCATTCAGTCCTACGGAGAGTTGTTTTTCAGACAAACCTACTGAAGTTTCAAGATAATAAAACAATGTGTGTGTGCATACAGATACATCTGACGCTCCTAATTATCCTACAACAATATTGTGTTGTGCTCAGGCATCTCAAGTCACAGCAGCATGCTGCTGAAGTTCCATCATTCTGGTGGCATGGCATTGCATGCCAAGAGGGTATTTGCACTGAGCGAACATAAAATAAATATAAGGATATCAAAAAGCTACGCTGTAAAATAAATGAACAGCATATAATCAAAGGAAGATACTACATGTATTACATGCCCATTAATACATGTTTTCAGTATGCTGTAAGCAGAGGGGTATAGGCAGCATGTCTTAATTTATGATTTGGATGTTTTAAGTCATAGGAATGAAATGAGTCAAGTACTCTTACGCATCACAATAAGGGATGGAACATAAGCACATTTAACTTCTGTCTCTCCTTACATCCCTGCAGGACCTCTGCCACCTTCACTATGACCTTCTCTATTGCTTCTATGGAAACAGCTCTCTTTTCCTTAACCCGGCCTCTCTAGCCATCACTGCATTCCCCTCACACAGCAACTTTCAGGTTCCTAATTACTACTCCCTGAAAACTTCTTAAGCTGGGAGACTCCTAAGAATTAAACTTTTTCCCCATAACGTGCCATTCTTCTGACACAAGTTGTGGCAAATGGCAGAGCAAATTACTTAAGCAAACCAAAAGAGGAAGTTCTTAGCAAGACTAAAATTGGTTGTTTCTGTCTGAGGTCCAGTGAGATGAAGACCATTCCACTAACCCTGCAGCACTTTCTGAAATCTCACTAAGTCCAGGAACAGGCTATCCCAGATGTTTTACAGTATTTCATGACTGGCAAGTAGCCTAAGAGTTAACGGCCCCATAAAACAAGTTTTGCAGCTTTTCATTATTGTTCCCAATTAAACGTTATTTACAAATTCAAATCTTCACAGACATTTCCAAATGGAGTTTTTATCAAATAAGAGGTTGCTTTAGTACGTGATGAAAACTTTCCTTCCTCTTTCTATAGTGAAACCTGTTATCCATTATGCTGATATCCTTCAGCACTTCGGCAATGCTGTATGAGCACAGACAATGCAGTTGGTGCTATATCTACACAGATTTTCTCTTAAAACAAATTTGTATCACCTGCACTAATGTCTTTAATTGTTTTAAAAAATGTTCACATCCAAGACTGACTTTTTGTAACTGCCTAGACCCTTTCCTCAGTCCTTTATCCCTGAAGGCCCAGTTACTGCAATCAACATTTGTTTGGTAGCAGTGAATCCTTGGACTTTCTAAAATTTATGCTGGAATAGTTCAACTCAACAAACACCCAGTTCAGGCTCCTTGTGGAAAGGTTACTTAATAGAAAGCAGAAAAACCAAAAGCACGCATACCTGCTTGCCACATTCAAAATATCTTTCGATCTTCAATTACTACAAGAAAAGCTTGAACCGAGGGCATAACCAACTTAACTCAGATTTTCTTAGTTTAAGCTGCCTAACTTGAGCTGGGAGCTGCGTGAATTAATTCACTGCTTGTTGGGAGAGGTGTGGGCAGCCAGAGGTAGAGTCAGGGGCAGGGGCCCACCTGATGGTACATTATTTCAAACTCCCTGCACTTAAACTATTGCATCTGCTTTCCTTTTTCTGGGACAAATTATAAACTCTTAAGGGAAAACAGGTGGCCTATTTATGTCTTCTTTAAAGTGTAGTGTTATTTACATACTGCAATAAACAAATGGTACTTTGGTCAAAACTGTTATTATTCCACTGGAAGTAGACAATCACCTAAGTGTAAAGATCTACAGATTAAACTCACAAATAGGCCAGTGGGGGTCAAACACACTGTAAATTCTCATACATTTTAAGGTGTTGAACAATATTATTTTCAATCCTTCTCATTTGCTTAGAAGAAATGGTTATCTAGCCCTTCTTAAAATATTCATGCCTGGTTAGCAGATTCTAAGAAAAGATATAAGACTATAATTCTTGTTTTGCAAGGCATCCTGATCACTATTTAAATCAGAAACGCAGGCAGGATTTATTATCTTGAACTAAAATTTGAGAAGGAGTTGGAATTAAATAGAAAACTAGAAAAAGGAAGAAAAGATGTTTTACAGGAAAAGAAGCAAGGGACAAGTCAGACTTGGGATAAAAACCTTAGGGTAAGAGTTCAGCGTGCAAGAGGAGCTTAAATATAGTACGCATATCCCTTTTCAGACTACGCACGAATCCTCAGGCCTAGTTTTAAAATGAATTTAAAACTCATTTTTAAATCTATTAAGTCTTGAAGACATTGTTTAGACACTTAGTACCCAAGTCAACCCCTTCAATAGTGCATTATTCTGCAAACAGCTTTATTTACATAGATACTTGCTTTGGGTTCTTAAATATTAATATGGCTTCTCTAAAGTTAGAAATGCAACAGCTGCCAAATTTAACCCCTTTTAGAAGTGTTGTGGAGTAGATGCAGTCCTCCGTTTTTCAGGATAACAGATTAGAAGACACTTTTAGACACCACTGTAGTCTTGCCAAATGTTTAGCAACCAGCAACAAGTGACTCAGCTACTCCACCGGTGACAGTGCCAGGAAATTCTATTCTAAGCAAACAAAAGCGTTGATACCTTTATCAGAATACTTGCGCTCTAATGCATGGAGGTCAGGCAGCAGGTGCATACAATTGATGCAGCAGTAAGTGAAGAAATCCAACACCACCACTTTTCCACAGAGGTCTTTGTACAGAGAAATGGGACCTTCAGTGTTTAGCCATTCCAGATCTGGAATTCAGAGAGCAGAAGCATCCAAATTAAAGGATAAAGGCACGGGTTCTACAGCTAGTTTGTACACCAATGTTCAACATTCCTGGTACATTTCATTCACAGTTTTAAAATATTACTTTTTATGAAGATAAGAAAACTAGCCACAATCTTACAGATGGCAAATGTGGCTTTGACCTACAATTCTTCATATTTAATGAGTCAAAATAAATACTATTGAGTTAAATAGCTGTAATGTAATGTGAACAGACTAACTCATAATAGATTAATGTTAATTGAAAGCACAGGCAAACTTTACAAAAAATTTTGTTTCTGTTTAAGAATCGTGATTTACAGTAATCAACCACATAAGAATAACACATGGGTAAGACACTTATACACATCGATGGAATAAAACAGAAGTTATGTATGTATAAACCTTACTAATTTGTAGGAGTATTAATTTTTTTTAAAAATGCCATAATTTACCTCTTACTGAAAAAATGCCTCAACCACCTGTGCTATATTATAAAATTACTTTCAAGAGAGTATAAAAGCTATTAGATGACAAATATAAAATATTAATGATAATATGTACTGTCCCAATAACAACCACACTTGCAATTATAGACTGTAGCACCTTTCACTGAATTATTTCCAACCACTTCCTTTATGAATCCATAGTATGCGTCTGTTCTACAGACATACAAAGAGGAAGTCAGTAAAAAAAAAAAAAAAAAAAGCTAAGGAATAGAAATCCTGGTTCTCTATCTGTATGTGCTAACTTCTAAAATAATGAAAGACAAGTATATAGATAAGACAGAAAAAGGCTGCAGTGAATTAAGTCCCACTTTGGAGTGGGATATAGACTCATAAATCCCTTAGAAGAGAATTTAAATCCCACCCTGTGACCATCCCATAGAACTCAGGATAATCCCTCTATCAGTCAACAGAAGTTTTGTTTTTCTTCACATCTTGAGAAAGATGTATGACACCCCCACAGATGAGGTACTGGTAATATTAATAAGACTTACTTATATAAGAAAAAAGAAAGCACGGGGGAGAAAGATCCACCTTTAAGTAAGTAACCCAAAATGGTCATGCACATTTGTGGCAGACCCAAGAATGAAACCCAGGAATCTAGGTAGCAGTAGTACACACCTGTTGTCTCATTTGCTGCATATAAGATGTACTCATAATGGAAGATTTCTTTTTTAATCCACCACTGAATTTCTGAAATGTATACCTTCAGGTCTTAGTCCTTCAAACCTCTGTGTGGACGGACCTGCGTAACTCCAAAAGGCTTCAATCAGCAGACTGCAGTTGTTCCTTCTTACAGGGTTTAAGCTTTGATTCATATCATAGAGACATGAAAGAAGGCACAAATGCACATAAGCCAACGAGGATGGCATTTCTGGTTTGTTTGAGGGAGCAACAACATAAGGGACAACAGCAGACAAGTAGGAACCAGGCCCTGAAACTGAAGCAATGATATTGAGGACACTCAGAAGAACTCAACCAAGTCAGAGAGATATTAACAATGGCCAACAACGAAGAAGTTAAGGAATGAAGGCACAAAGGTTCTTTTTTTTGTTTGTTTTTTAAATGGATTTGCTAGTAAGAATAAAAAAAAATTAAGTTTTCTTCTTCTTTAGTAGCCAGGGTTCTGGATTCAGATTAAGAAATGTCTGCACATATATTTCCTAATTATTTCATTATGTGGAAATGTGGAAGCTAAATAATAACCTGAAAACTTAAAATATACCATATAAAATAGGCCATATAAAATATGGTCCTTAAAATATACAGAGAAGAATTCTCCTTTAAAAGCCAAACAGAAATTTTGTCTAACTTATTCTTCCTATGAAAGCTCCCATTTATACCAGTGATATTCTGAGTGTCAAAGCATGACTTTTGTTTTGGTTTGGAACTATATATACCATCACAGAAATGTGGGGGTTTTTTTTAAATATATATTGTATCTAAAAATTAAGAGCCAAAAGAATGTTCCATTATCCTTTAGATTTTGGGATAAATCCTGAACAGCACTTTTGACTTTTTGACAAAACAATCAAAGCCACTTCATCTTTTTTCTAGGCAGGAAACAATATTGTTATGTGGCTATTACTATCATCTTCACTAAGCCAAATGACATTTTTGGGAATGTATTGGTAGTTTAGCAAAAACATTATGAAAAATTACTAGCCCTTACCAAAAATATGCTCACTAGTAACCACCAAAGGTATTTTCTCCATCCATTAAAATACATTTGTAACGAGCAGAAAACTGGAGAAATATTTTAAAGATTTGTCGTCTTGAAAACAACCCAGGCTTCAATTTGTCATTTTTAAACACAGTTTGAAAGCTGGGAATTGGCCTGAATGGTAACTGACAGAAGAGGGGTCATCTTACTATGGAGTGAGAGTTCAGAGTACCTAGAGAAAAAACAGTTTAGTATATAAATGGTCTTTCTTGCTAGTATTCTCAAGAACATAACAACCCTATTAATATTTAGCTGGGATGATGTAGTTGGGGATGATCCTGCTTTGAGCAGGGTGTTGGACTAGTTGACCTCCTGAGGTCCCTTTCAACCCTAATTTTCTATGATTTGCAATGAAGAATCAACACCACGAAAATAAATGAAAACATATTCATTCCACATTTTTTCTTCTTTTCCTCTCCAGGAAAACTTGAATTGAAGAAGCAGAACATGTATTTGTATTTCTGAATTTGCGTCAAGTGATGAATGCAAAGACTTTAAAGATAAACCTCTACAGTTCTGTGCTCACTTATACAAGAGAATAATTATGGTACCTACCTGCCTAGAGACTACCGTCAGCCTGCAAGACAACTGAACCAGCTGACAGGGGGTGCATTATACTCATCTGAAGGAGCATATCACTTAACTTAATTACAGTTTGGAGGCATAAAATGGACCAGATAACATCCCCCTCCAAAGGTAAGAGGATTGGCTTAAAATTCATTGAAGTGTGGATTCCTTTTT